GTTCTTACTTTTTTTTTTTTTTTCTAGTTTCCTGTCTAGAACTTGTAATGTTAATTACTCTTGCTTTGACTTCTCCTTCACAACTCCTATTCATGATTCAAGGACTTTCTTTTCCCCTTAGTGTTAAGAGTTATGCAATTTGGGAATCTTTTAGATAAACCCACTCAGTGAGTACTCCAATTGCCTCACCCTGTATCCCTGTTCAGCAAGGAAGAAGCCAGAGTGGTCTGTGTCTTGATTCCCTATTGGCAATTTGGGTAACCTCTTCAGAGGATGGTGTGGTAAGAATAGGAGGTAGGAGCCGTGTGTAGTGGCACATGCCTGTAGTCCCAGGACTTGGGAGGCAGAGGCAGAGGCAGAGGCAGGCAGATCTCTGTGAGTTCAAGGCCAGCCTAGTCTACATAGTGAGTTTCAGGACAGCTGGGGCTACAAAGAGACCCTGTCTCAAAAAGACCGAAAGAAAAAAAAAACGAGGAAATAAAAGTATAGGAGGTAGGAATTGGCTAGGCAGTTAGGGTGAAAAGACCCCAAAGAAAAGGAGCCAGTTTCTTGACCGAAGTCAAAATGTCCTTGGGCCTCTTGGCAACATGCTCTGTGTCAAAGGCCAAAAATATCAAAAGTATTTTGGAGCTTGTGTCTAATCCTTAAAAGATTTTAGGGTTACCTCTCCAGATGGGGGAATGTTAAGAGTAGCCAAAAGCCTCATAAAAATAAAAAAATGAAAGAAGAAAAGAAAAAGAAAAAAATGATGGGGGGATATGGGAGGTGTTGGAAGGGAGGGAGTGGGCATGGATTTGATCAAAACACCTTATATGCATGTATGAAATTCTCAATAAAGGTTTTGTAAAAGAAAAAAAAAACACTCATGTATGAAATTCTCAAAAATTTTTTTAAAAATTACATTAAAGCTGGGTGTGGTGGTGCATGCCTGTAGTCCCAGCACTGGGAGGCAGAGACAGGCAGATGTCTGAGTTCAAGGCCAGCCTGGTCTACATAGTGAGGTCCAGGCCAGCTGGGGCTACAGGGAAACTTGTTTCAAAAAGACCAAAAAAAAAAACAAACAAAAAAATAAAAAAAGGCTAAGAGTTTAAGCTGGGAAAAATCAAAGGTGGTGAAGCAATGAGAAGTGACAAATGAAACAGCAGGAAACAGGGGTGGGGGGGTCTAAACACTACCCACAGAGCAAGCCCCTTCCAGGGCAAGAGGAAGGCTGAGAAATCAAGAATGACCAGACCTGAGATGCAAAGTGGCCTGTGGACAGCCGGGAAGGGGGCAGGCTCACACCAGAGAGGTCTCAGTCCTGCCATTAGGTCAAAGCAAGATTAATCCATTGAGTGGCAGCAACTAGGGAAGGACTGGAGGCATCAATGAGACCATTAGGATGACTGAGTGAAGAACATGACAGGACTGGGCCAGAAGGAGAGTGAACACTAGCAGTGAGGGCCCCTTCAATTGCAGAGATTGTGAAGGCAACCTCGTTAATCTGCACTATACTTTTAAAAGTTGCAACTCAAGCATTTCTGATCACTGCTACACAGAAAACTCCGTGTAAGTTTTAAAGGGGATACGCAGAAAGGTGTGCATCATGAAAACGGGGCAGTGCAGCCCAGTGGACCAGCACAGGCCTGTCAGTCAGATCTGGGTGAGTCCTGACTACACCCGACAGCTGCACAAGTCTGTTTTCTGTCTCTGAGCCTTGGTTCCTCATCTGTAGAGCGAAGATAACCATCCCTACTTTGCAAGACTGTTGTGAAAACTGGGATGACGCAGGCAAAGGCAAGTAGAAAATACCACTGCTAGAGTGAATAACAGCACGATGGGTTCAAGTATCTAGCAATGGGAATAGGTTTACCTAAGTTACAGGATAATTTAATAAACAAATGGAGATTTCAAAAGAAGTGTAAAAAGATTCCAGTGAGTAGAAATTTACTTACTCATCATCAGGAGTGAGCTGGACTGGTTCATTAGTAAACTGGGAATCGAAGTTATCCAAACCAAATTCTCCAGAAATATTTGGTTTAAAGGGAGGCACCACCTGCTTTTGCTCCATCTAAAAAGGCACATCAATGACAGCTCAGGTCTGCACACGGAAACACTGCCCTCTCTATCTTCCTCTGCTCTCTGATGCCTTCCCAAGCATGGTGTTATACATATTCAACACTCATGTTCACCTTTCATTAATTTGAACACTGATACGGGCCCCAGTAATATTACAACCTGTCCTATTATATTAACATTCTGTTTTGTTTCTAAAGTGTCTTTAAAAAGTAATTTAGAGTACTTTTAAATTACTTAAGCTATAATATACTACTTTTCTGATACTTAGTTTTAGTAACACAATAAAACTTTGCCCTAGGAAACAAAACCTAAGCTAGAAAACAACCCAAATTTACATACCATATCCCAGTCAACATTTCGGAAGAATGGGTGTCCTTGAATGTCAGCAAATCCTGTTTGAGGGTGACAACCCAATCGCTCCTTTGGATCCTATGGTGAAGGAAATGTTCCAAGAACTAGATGAGTGTCATTCCTATTACGTGATACTTTGATTTATGAAGATGGAATATCCAGCTATTTCCAGAAATATCAGACCAGATCCAAGAGTGATCTAAAGCTCACAACAGGTAAGAGTTCCTCTTGGCTCTTCCTCAATTTGTCATGTCAGCAAGTGGAGAATGCTAAACCTGGTGGTGCTGACCTAGAGTCCCAGCACTTGGGAGGTAGAGGAGGAGGATCAGAAGTTCTGGGCCATCGTCCACTATATAGAGTTCAAGGTCAAGCCTGGACTACCCGAGACCTTTTGTTTTGTGAGACAGGGTCTCCCAGTAGCCCTGGCTGTCCTGAAACTCCTTATGTAGATCAGGCTGGCGTGGATCTCAGAGATCCGCCTCCCTCTGCCCCCAAGTATCCCAAGTATTGGGATTAAATGTGTGCACTACCACATGCAACTCATTTTTTTGGTTTTTTTGTTTGTTTGTCTTTTTGAGACAGGGTCTCCCTGTAGCTCCAGCTGTCCTGGAACTCACTATGTAGACCAGGCTGGCCTCGAACTCAAAGAGATTGCCTGCCTCTGCCTCCCAAGTGCTGGTATTAAAGGCGTGTACCACCACACCCGGCGATTTTGTTTTCTAACTTTTAAATTTTATTGATTTTTAAAATTTTACCTTTTAGTGAATTTTTGCAATTTTCATTCAATATAATTTGATAGTATTTAGATCCCTTCCCTGATCTGCAATTCGAACCTGGGTCCTCTGGAAGAGCAGCCATTGCTTTAAAGCTGAGCTATCTTTCCAGCCTCCCTCTCCCTTTTTTGTTTTAAAAGTGAGAACTACCTCCACTTTTGCTTTAAACTTGAGGAGAAATAAGAACAGCCCTCAGTTTTTTCTCTGGCATGGGCTAGAATTTCAGCCATGATACAGAAACTTCCAAACTTTACCACAAGCTTATGTTTAACTAAGTGTCACAGTCCTGGGCTCAACAACAGGGACAAACCATAATCCAAGACAGTGACACAGCTCTTACCTAGTCATTGGACTAAGGAGGAATCTGGAACTCATGAAACTGGGGCTTTTATTCTTACTGTGAATTAGAATGTCTTCTTTCTGGTAAAGGCATTTTATTTTACACATTAAACACCTCTCAACTTTGTTTTTCATTATGCAAAAGATGAGCTTTCAACTTTAAATCTTTCCTAATATAAAATAGCCACCTAAACTTGGCTCCAATTTCTGATTTCGTTAAAATTCACTATTATCTACCTAAGAGATTTATAAATAGACACTAACCTGTCTGCCTGTCACTTATTTGAAATATTTATGACTCTGAAATTCATAATCTTAGATCCTAAACTCAGAGCCTACAAACTATAAGAAGCCACTCAATGATGCTCACATTAAGGTTAACACTTCCCTATCTTCTATCTAAATAAGGGTTTTTTATGACAATGGGTAGAAAACCACTACTGACCAAGAGCTAGTACATGGTGATGAATGGGTTCTAAGACTGACAGAGAGAAAATGAAAAATCAAGCTGAAAATGCATAGCTAGCCCTAGAGACTCAATCTTTCCACCCTGAGAATGTGATATGTATGTATCAATCACATGAAAAGCATCAAATGCATAATCTAGCTGGGTAAGGATAACTTGCCTTAGGATTTGATGCTGTCTCTTTGGTTACAAAACAAATTCCAGTTCTAACTGAAAAGATACATCCTCTGTTTTGAAAGATTACACTGCCCGAGCCTCTACTTACCAGTCTGACAGATGCAGAGACAAACCACAAAAGATTTTTATACACAATTTATACCTTGTTGAGAAAACTCTTCAGTACACTTGCTGCTTTTACAGATAGAGAGCGTGGTATACGAATTTGCTTTTCCAAAATAACTAGAAAAATAAAAATTAGTATTATTTTTGCGTTTCACGTGTCTTTACTCTTTAAATCTTTATTATGAAATACTTAAGGCATTTCAGTAGACAATCCATCACAGACACAACTGAAGCACTTAATGTACTCTCCTAATGCCTTAGCTCGCCCTCCTTCTCAGAGCTTGCCTTGGACCTGAACACGCCTTTATCATTTGTATGCATCTTTTATTCTTTGACTATCTGTAACACCTGCTGGCTGGGCGGAGTGGCGCATGCCTTTAACCCTAGCACTCGGCAGGCAGAGGCAGAGGCAGGCGGATCTCTGTGAGTTCAAGGCCAGCCTGGTCTACATAGTGAGTTCCAGGACAGCTGGGACTACAGGGAGACCCTGTCTCAAAAAGACCCCCCCGAAAAAAAACCCCACCTGCTGCATAGGTTGTCACAAGCTTTAAATGAGCTAATATCTGTAAAACGCTTGAATATCTGGTATAGAATGCTATTGGAAAATGTGGGATCATTCTCCAAATCTATTGTGTCAGTTTTCATTCACACTAACAGTTTGCGAGAGCGCCCGCTGCTCCATGTCTTCACCAGTACTGGCCAAATACACAGGTATGAAGTTGTGGCTCATTAACATTTTAATGTATACCCCCCTAATCATTGCTGAGACCGAATGTCTCCATATACCCGACGGCCACTTAGGTTCCCTATTATAGGAAGCACTCATATTCTGTGATGGCTTTAATTATTAAACACTGAATTTCATGGCCATCTTCACAGCGTGTGTTAGAGGTCCCTGTGCTTGGCCTCTTGTTTCTGTTCCCAGCATTCCCTGCTGTGAGTATTTCTGAGTCCTCACGCCCCACCTGATCTGATATTCTTAGTACTCTACTTTTCAGTTCTTTAACGTGCTCAGTCTCAGGCTCCTGTGTAAAGACTGTTCTCTCCAGCCAGGATTCCCTCCTTTGGTATCTATGATGGATCAATTAGCCCTGTGTTATGAGTTTGAGGGGGGTGAGTATCTGCAAAAAGAACTGGAGATGATAGAAATAGGAAGGGTATATTTAAAAAGTCAAAATCTCAGCCGGGTGTAGTGATGCATGCCTTTAATCCCAGAACTTGGGATTCAGAGTTCGAAGCTAGCTTGGTCTACATAGCGAGTTCCAGGCCAGCTGGGGCTACAGGGAGACCCTGTCTCATAGCCGGGCATCTCAAAAAGACTAAAATAAACTAATTAATTAATCAAAATCTCATAATTAGGAGTAATGGATTTCCAAGTTACCATCCCCCTTTCTACTCAAAATAATGAGGTACCCTAATTTCTGCAATGTTTACCAAAACTGCAAATTACCTTGAAAGAGATAATCCTCTGTGTTTTGATCGGGATTGTCAGAGCTGCCGACAATATCAAATGGAGACCTTCCTGCCATCATCTCGAACATCAGCACTCCAAGAGCCCACCAGTCAACACTAAAACCTTCAGAAAGAAATTTTAAACCATGAACCACGCATGCATGAAAGCCAGAAACCAGAGATTTATTATCATGAATGAAAATTTAAGCACAATGAAAACATAAGTTGCAATTAGATTTAACTATTATGGTGGCACTGAACTAGAGATGCTTGGTTTATTAACAGACAGCCACTTAATCTGCTTTGTTGTTTGTTTTTGTTTGGGTTTTTTTTTTTGGGCTTTTTTGAGATAGGGTTTCCTTGTAGCCCCAACTGGCCTGGAACTCACTATGTAGACCAGGCTGGCCTTGAACTCAGAGATCTGCCTGCCCGTACCTCCCAAGTGCTGGGATTAAAGACACATGCCCCATGCTGGGCCATAGACAGCCACTTAAAAGAATATAAAAGTATGAACAATGAAACTTTTTTTCTCAAATAAAGTTGTTATTTCAGACTTGCCCAATACCTAATATTTTGTTTTGAAGATGTAATTAAATTATATTTGGAAATAAATTCTTTTGGACTAAAATTTAATCTTTTTTTTTTTTTAGTCTTTTTGAGACAGGGTCTCCTTGTAACCCCAGCTGTCCTGGAACTCCCTATGTAGACCAGGCTGGCCTTGAACTCACAAAGATCCACCTGCCTCTGCCTCCCAAGAGCTGGGATTAAAGGCGTGTACCACCACGCCCGGCTCTAAAATTTAATCTTTTGATAAGTGATAAAGATTTTAGGACCTTTTCATTGTTTTTTTTTTGAGACAGGTTCTCATTATATACCTCTAGCTAGGCTTGAACTTGTGAGCCTTTTGCCTATCTCCAGAGCCCAAGGATTATGGGCCTACACCACCACTACTCAGGATCAATGGTTAAGAGCACTTGCTGCTCTAGTAGAGTTCCCAGCACCCACAATAGGCAGCTCACGACTGTCTATAACACCAGCTCCAGGAGACCTGGCGTCCTCTTCTGGCTTCCATGGGCACCTGCACACACCTAGCATGCATACACACATGCACATGCACACGCACGCGCGCGCGCACACACACACACACACACACATACATCTTTAAAAAAAAAAAAGATTGCATTTACACCGTGAGCAGCTTTCAGAAGTACAGCGTTTTCCTTTACACCTGCTAATACCAAATGGTCAGAACCATTTTAAGACAAAATAAATGTAGACTCTTGCCTGGTGAGCAGCCAGTCTTTTGACCATCTTTTAGACTCCTGGGGAAAATAACCTAGGAAATCTGAACAATCTTCTAGAGGTTCAAGATGTGGGTTTGAATATCAATCTACTTTGTCACTTTCTAGCTGTTACAACTTTGGGCATGTTATTTAAACTTTTCTGTTTATCAGTTTCCTCATTTGTAAAATAAAAATCAGTAATGCTTAGCATGTTTTTTTTAAAAAATATTTTATTATTTTTTTGTGTGTATGCGTGTACTGCCTGCATGTAGGTAAGTGCACCCATGTCATGCAATGCCTGTGGAGGTCAGAAGAGGCTGGTGGATCCCTGGAACTGGAGTTACAGACAGTTGTTAGGTGCCATGTGGGTGCTGGGATTTGAACCCAGGTCTTCTGCAAGAACATTCTGTGTTCTTAACTGCTGAGCCATCTATCCAGCCCCATGCTTAGGTTTATTTATTTATTTATTTTTAAGTTTTGTTTTTTTTTTAAAATAAAGATTTATGTGCACGTGTGTGTCTGAGTGTACATATGTGTACCAAGTGAATGCACTACACATGGAGGCCAGAAGAGGGCATCAGATCCCTTGGAACTGCAGTTACAGACAGTTGTAAGCTATCCAACATGGGTGCTGGGAACTGCTCTTAACTGCTGAGCCTTTGCTCTAGCCTCACAGGAGGGTTTTAAAAGTGTTTTACACAATTTGGCTATAACAACAATGCTCGCCACTCTTCAGTGTTGGCCACCAATAAGTTATTATTTAAATGTGTATGCATCCCACACATTGCTGTACTTACTGGCTCTGCTTTTAGATTTTGGTTTTTATAAATTATTATTTAAGTGTGTATGCATCCCACAAATTGCTGCACTTACTGGCTCTGCTTTTAGATGTAGGTTAGGACCAAGAAAAATTTATAAGAGCAATATTAAAATGCTATAGTGTATTATAATGCAGTTGGTACCACATTAAACCATCAATTTCACTATAGCTAAAATACCACCTATTTATTTATTACCATAATCTTCTCCTCTTAAAATTTCAGGAGCAATGTAATTAGGAGTACCACAGAAAGTGCTGGTTGTATCTCCAGGCCGTAATCCTTCCTTTCATGGGGGGAAAAAGGAGGAAAAAAAAAGGAAGAAAAAATAAGATTTAAGATTCTGTTGTAAAGTCATCTGTTTCATCTACCACATGAATTCAGCATGTGTATGCAATACATTAAACTTAACTTATCACAAGAGCACTTGCCTTTACTATTAAAATGGCAAACTGCTACTAAGTAGCTTAAAGAAAACTTGGCCACACTAGATAGTTAGTCTGTTTAATTAAGATAAAATTGCCTTTAAAATGGTATATTTGTTAAAATTTAATACAAAGATGTAAAGTAATTGAGTATGAATTAAATTCCTCACCCTAACATGACTATTGATATTGTAACATTTTGCTTACGGTCATTTCTTCCTATGCAATAAGTTTTGTGCTTGGGTATTCTAATGGTTGTGGGATGGTGAAAAATTAAGGAAAAATGCACAAACAAGCTAAGAAAAAATGAGTAATAATGAATGGAGTAATCATTAAGAACTGTAACAAATACAAACTTCTATGCATCTAAAAATAAAAAAGCGAAAAATGGATACACTGGGAAAATTCCATGATCTTCAATCATGGTATGAGATTCTACTATACAGACACCACAAAACAGATCTGATACAGCAATAACTAAGCAAAAGAAGAATTTAGACAAAAACTAGAGCTAACACAAAAAATAAGCACAGCAGCACAGGTGCAATGCCAATAACTGGGAGGCTGAAGCAGGAGGACTCCAAGTTCAGGGTCAGTCTCAGCTGCACAGTAAGTCCCAGACCATCCTGAGCTGCAGAGCAAGACCCTGTCTCAAAAGAACAGATATGAACAACAACAAAATCCCACCAAAACAAACATACGAAAACAACCCAACAATGTCCTCTACCTACATACAGTGTGAATGTCTATATATGTTTGTGGAAAGGAGGAGGACAGGAAATTATAAAAGAAAGGCTCCTTACAGTGATGGAGAGATGGTAGAGGGTAAAAAGTTTGCTGAACAAGTAGAGGACCAGTATTTGGATCTTCAGCACTGTTTGTATGAAGTGTAGGCATGGCTGGCTTGTAATCCCAGCACACAGGAGACAGAACTCCAGAACAAACTAAAATGGCTGGCTACACTTAGACAAATTAGCGAGCTTTGGGTTCAAAGGAGAGATCCTGTCTTGATATGTAAGTTGGAGAGCAATCAAGGAAGACATCCCATGTCAAACCTTGAGCCTCCACATGTATATGCAAACACACGCACACATAAGTTAACAGTCTATATTGACTGGAAATACAGACTATTTCCTAATTTCAAAATCAGTCATGTTGCAAGCAAAAATCCTACTGTTCTAATTTACAGACTCTATAACAAAGTTAGCATTCTTCTTATTTTTATTTGGTTTTATTTTCACAAGACTCAGAAGAATCCATTATTATTGTGACTTTTTAAAAATTTTGAGATGAAAAACATGCTAGAAAAAAATGGCAGAGATGAAAAAGGACTCCAAATGTAAGTGAAGTGTACACAGGTGTCCACTGACTACACTTCCTACTACTTAACACCTGAAACTTCACATAACAGAATAAATTAAGCAGCACCATGCGAAAAATGGCGGATCTCCAGAAACTGGAGTTATAAACGGTTATTAGCTGCCATTGGAGGTGCTGGGATTCGAACCTGGGTCTGCAAGAGCAAGCCAGTGCTCTTAGCCGCTGAACTATCTCTCCAGCCCCAGCTTTGACTTTTATACATGATTTGCCCTGTGAAGATTTTATTTTCTAATAGAGGCTGAACAGATAACAACATGAAATCTTCAATACCATAGGCCGCTTTATGCAATGGGATCTGGTGGTACTTCCTCCCTCCTGGTGGATGGGGATCAGCTTACACAGGGACACACTAGGAGGATGTTTGCATTTGCAGCTACTTTAGTAAGTGGAATAGTCTACAGATATTGTGGGAAAAGATCAGACCTTCAAATGAAACACCATGACCAGAAGATTTACACACCAAGAAACAGACATTCTGAGGGATTTATCATACTTTGTCAGATATTTGGAATTTAAATTAAAAAAAAAAAAAAGCAAAAAACAAAAACGAAACTCCCAAGAAAAATTTGTACCTATGTTCAGGGTCTACTAAATGGCAAAAAACTGGAAGATGATAGGCAAAAACTGTGCTGAAGTAATGAGGTTATAGATGATTCTTATTTCCAAATTTTCTTGAATAGTGTCAAAATATTCAAAACAGAAAAAAATTACAAACAATAAAAAGAAAATAAACCTTATTTTAACATAGATATCACAGAAAATTTGGAATTATGCAAACATTTAGTGGGGAAAAGCACATTTGTTAGGCTGGAGAGATGACTTAGTAGTTAAGAGCACTGGCTGTTCTTACAGAGGACCTGGGTTCAATTCCTAGAACCTGCATGGCAGCCAACAACTGTAACTCCAGTTCCAAGGGATCCAGTGCCGCCTTCTGATCTCCGCGGGCATTGCAAAACACAGGTACATTTACATACATTCAGGCAATACACTCGTACACATAAAATAAATAAAAATAATAAATAAAACATACTTTTTAAAAGTACATTTGCCTTTATGCTATACTTTCGAAACACCTCAGACCAGGCAGTACTCATTTTACCCTAAACATAAAGTCATTTTACTGACAAGTTTCCAAGCAGGAGATTCTCTCACCTTACACATGCCATAGTCCGTGAGTTTAATGTGTCCTTCAGAGTCCAGCAGGACGTTGTCCAACTTCAAATCTCTGTAAATGATTCCTCGCTCATGAAGATAATTTAATGCTAGACTGATTTCTGCAGAGTAAAACCTGAAATGAAATTTTAAAAAATGAGTCACTGAGCACACTTTTATTTTTTTGACAGGGTCTCCCTGCAGCCCCAGATGTCCTGGGACTTCCTACGTAACCAGACATGCCCTGATCTCAGAGAGCTTGCCCCTGCCCCTGCCCCTGCCCCTGCCCCTGCCTCTGCCCCAGCCCCAACCCAGCTCCCCGGACGGGGATTAAAAGTATGCAGCACCACGCCCAGCCTTGGGCTCAAATTTTTAAATGGTGATAACTTTCCAGAGGAAGGTAGATAAATTCTATTCCCACTTACAACTGAAATATGAAATCCCTTCAGATTTCTTTCTCCCATTATTTTGAGGAAATAATAAAAAAATTGGAGTCAAAGTAACTCTCCCCAAATATATTCATCTAAAATACCATCATAGTCCGCACTTTGGCAGCACATTTACTAAAACTGGAACGATACAGAGAAGATTAGCATGGCCGCTGTGCAAGGATGACAAGCAAATTCGTGAAGCATTCCATAATTTGAATGAAAGAACTGGAAGCTTAGACGAACCAGCTTTTCATGCCCCAAAAGGAAACCACAAAGTCACATAAAGTTTACAAAAAGAAGCAGACCTAAATGTGAAGGCTTGAGTCTCACACAAGAATCAGAAACTACAAAAAAAATTCACATCTCAAAATCACAGAGAAAAAATAACATGAAAAACCAAAATAACATAACCCTACCAAATATCAATAGTTCTCTAGAGGAGTACAATGAGAACCCCCTAGAGATAATGCAGGACAAGGAACTCAAAAGAACAATTAAAAGCGTGATAAAAGAATTCAGTGAATTTAAAAAACAAAAAAGAAATCAAAGAACTGAAGGAACATAGGGATAAACTTCTGAATGAATTCAGAAAGAGCTAGAAATATTGAAGACTACTCAGGCTGAAATGAAGAAGGAAGTGAAACACTCAGTAAGCCAATTAAAAATGACAGGAGAAAGCCTCACCAATAGGATGAACGAAATGGAAAACAGAGTATTTAAAACTGGATGATAAACTGGACAAACTAGACCACTCAAGCAAAGTTTATGAAAAATTTAAGAAAGCACAAGAATGGAATATGCAGGAATTGTGTGACACCATAAAAAGACCAAACTTATGAATCATAGGCATACAGGAAAGAGAAGAATCCCAAGATAATGACATGGACCAGATCTTCAACAGGATCATGGAAGAAAATATCCCAAAATTAAAGAAAGACATGCCCGTACAAATACAAGAAGCATATAGAACACCAAACAGACAGCACCAGAAAAGAAACTCTCCATGGCACATCATAGTAAAATCACTAAATGTACAGAACAAAGAGACAATATTGAAAGCTGCAAAAGAGAAACAAGAAGTCACACACAAAGGAAAACATCAGGATCACAGCTGACTTTTCAGTGCAAACTATGAAAGCCAGAAGAACCTGGACCAAAGTATTCCCAGTTTTAAATGCCCACAGATACCAACTCAGACTACTATACCCAGCCAAAATGTATATTATAGTCGAAGGGGAAAGAAAAGTCTTCCATGATATAAATGGGCTGAAGGAATTCATGTCCACAAAACCAGACCTTCAGAGAGTTCTGGAAGCAATACAAAGACTTGAAGAAAGGAATAACTATACCCAAGGGGTTGTGGAAAGAAATTCAATCAAGGAATAACTGTGGAAAAGTACAGCTATATCAAGAATGTAAACAAAAATAAAAATGACAGGATTCAATACATATCTTTCATTCATAACTTTAAATACTATTAACGGACTGAACTCCCCAGTCAAAAGACACAGACTAGATGAATGGATTAAGAAACAAAACCTACCTTTTTATGTCTGCAAGAAACTCATCTCACTTTCAAGGACAGACACTATCTTAAAGTGAAAGGATGGGAAAAAATATACCAAGGTTGCCTA